CGTTGATCGTCCCGCTGCTTGATGTGGTTGTAGTCATCGATCGCATCATACAGTTTCTGGAGTAGAGGTCGTGGCAATTGTCGGCCATTCTGAAGGATCAGGTGTAAAAGTGATATTCTTCAAAGTGCGGGACGAAGAGCACACACAATGTCAACTGGGTTCAGTGTGATTGTGTCTTGAAAGTCGACGTTCCTGAAGAAATAAACAGCATTCACCCTGTATGCACCTGCAATGATTCTTCTGACCATGACGTCTTGTCGGTCAAGGGCGTCGCGGGCCGCTGTGGTCTTTCTCATCTCATCCATCGTTGTGTCACGTTTCGACAGCTTCTCCATCTCCTCTTCAAAGAAGATATTTTGTAAGTCATCATACGTGTAGCCACATTCAAGGGTATATATGAGAAGTCTTTTGAGTACCACTGCCCCATAGTATGCATTGACGAATCCCTCTTCTCCGATGTCGTCCTTTTGATTTGGTCGGCCGATCTCTTTGTAGAGCTCTTTCATCTGTTGTGCAGTTGGTTCAATGAGTTCACCATTCTCATCCTCGCCTAGGTAAGGCACTCTTGAGTCCAGGTCCATCCTGAATTTCTGGTTCTGTTGAAAGTGTTTCCATGCCGTCTCGATGTCTCCACAGAAGTTCCGTTGGAATAGTCTGTAGATCCTGACGATATGTAATCCAATCTGCAACAGGAGGATCTTGATGAGCTCCGGCTGAGCATCTCCAATTGTGCAAGGCTCGATTGGTAGGACCTTTGATCCAAACTCAACCCGCTTCATCCACTTGGGGTACTCAATCACTGCATCACGAGCTTCTCCAGCCTCATACTCTTCAATGTTGATTTCATCGACCGCTATCTCTTCATCGTCATTCTCGTCGGTCGGTTTTCCTTCCTGATTGAGAAATTTGTCGACCTCATCTTGTTCTCTGAAGTCTCTTTTCTCATCATTGATGTCGCCCTTCTTCGAGGCTTGGTCATCATCTCCCTCTTCTGGTTGAGGTTCTTGTTCTGGACTCTTCATGGTGACGTCATCATCATCTGGCATCATCTCGTCGTCATCACCATCACCTGTCAAATCGATCTTCACCTCCTCCCACGCTTTCTTGACATGGTCTTTGAGATCTTCTTCTCGATGATGTGATTCGGCACTTGGTACTGTAGCCACGGTGATCTTGATTCGTTTCCTCCATCCATGACTCACCAAAAATCCTTTGCACATCACACAAATCGATAATGGTGCAGGGGTCTCCATCAGACATGCGGGGCATAGTCGATGGTCCTCCTTGCTGGGATGATGAGTGACTGCTAACAATGATATTGCATCATTCCAATCCGGATGTCCAGGGAACAATCTGTGAGTATGACTGAAGTGACCGGTCTTGATATCGACAAGCTTTCGAAGTTCGTCCAGATCGGGTGAAGATTCATCAGGCACAATGTTCCCAATGAGCTTGTCAAATCGTTCAATGGTGGCCACCCTCTTTGCTCCTTGCACAGAAAGTACAAGTTGATCTCTTCCCTTTGTGATCATGAGACGGTAGTAGTCCTTTTCCCTCCAGTCGTAATACCAAACTGCATCGAATGATTCGAATGGGATTGTTTCTTGGACCAAAATGTGTCCGTCTGCTGACAATCGAGGGGAGAACTTGGCGATGGAATCGTACGTGATGTAGATGTAGACAAGATCAGTTTGTTCAATCTTCCTGAATCTCAGCACCGTCTGACTTCGCGCGTCCCACGGTGCGAATGGCACGAAGAACGTATTGATGCGGTCGCCTCCTCCTCCGGGACGTAGTCCTTCTCTGAAGATTTGAGCGATGTTGTCAAAAGTGGTGCAGTGAAATCCCCCTCCAAGAGTGTATCCTACTCCAGGGTTCATCTGATAGGAAGTCTTCTTGTCTTCGATGTGCACACCGCCTTGAACTCTTGAATGTGCCATAGGGGCACGGATTGCCACCGGCCAAAGCCAAATCTCTCGATCTGCCGTGCCGATCTCCAATCTCAGTGTTTGTCGATCAAGTCTCGAGGTCAATCCATCATTGAAGTTGTTCATGACGTGTTCCAACTCACCTTTTGTGACCTTGAGTCCTAGCACTTGAGCTCGGATTCTTTTTGTTTGCTTGTACTCAGTGAAGATCACTCTCTGGAAATTGTTCCACCTCTCGACAAGTATCGGGTAGTTGACGTAGGTCGTTCCAGCCAATGTATGTTGGTCTCTCCAAATGGCGTCGTACTTCAAGATCGACTCAACATTGACCCAACCTGCCTCATCGCATGGTAGTCCACGGTGATTTCGATTGTCTTTGACGCAACCCACGGAGTGGCGTAGCGCTGCATTGAATCTTTTCGACAATTCGACTATCCATTGCGGATTTTCCCACTTGTTGCCCATCCACTCATTCTCGCCATATCGATGTACCTTACACCAGCCCATTCCAAGATATTCTTCTCCATTGATGCGAGCAAGTTGAAGTGTACCAATGTTGTGGCCATGTGTGAATGGTTGGATGTACTTGAAGTTCCAGTTGTTTCCATGTTGTTTTCTTTCCTCAGTAAGCCATTTCATGTATTCATCATGATCAATGTGGTTCCAAGCGTTCAGCTCCTCAATGGTCGGCAAAACAGGCGGGGATTCCTCAGCCGCACGCTCAATCAGCATGTCAAGCTCATGACGATTCTTCACACCTCGGCTAATTGGGTTGACTTCGACACCATTCACTAAGTACTGTCCTCCTTCTTCACGATCACCAATGTCGTACAGAAAGGCTGACTGACTATAGAAGCACTTGGTCACTTCCTCTTTCTCAGTGAATCTGGTTCTTCCCCAACGCTTTCCTCGCGGCATGACGTTCTTTGGGAGCTTGTCTTTCCTGCCTCTGGTTGCAGCTTTGGATCTTTCGGATGATGATGGGGATTTGGACTTCTGATCCATGATCAATCTCATGCGCCATAGGGTGTCCTTCATGTTCTCGTCATCTGGTGTGGTACATTCATCAATGTCATGCATTCCACCACAAATGAAACAATATTGAACACTCGATGCGTCTGCAATCAGCTTCTCAAATCGATCACGGATGTCCCGCACCTCAGTTCGGCGCTTCTTCGCTTCTGAAGGTTGTCCCCCCATATCCTCTTCCTCCTCTTCATTCTCAATGTCACCAGCTCCGGCATCGGTCTCTCCTGAAGTCTGTTCTGTTCGAGGGCCCCGCGCCGTAGGCGTCGTGGTCTCCTCATCAGGTTCGCCAACTTCATCCTCCTCCTCATCGCTTGACGAGACCTCAATCATTTCAGGATGGTCATCGTAGTTGGCTTCCGGGAGCACCGGCATTCTGGTGATCTTCTTCTGCATGAGTAGGTCGAAGATTCCCGCTTCTTTCAGAATCGTTATCACCATGTTGTTCTCGACCGGCGGGATGTATGCTTTCCTGGATCGGTTTCGCTTTGTGTTGATGGTGTCGGTAGGTCGACATGAACTGCTGAATAGCCAAAACAACTCTTCCAGTCCTGCGAGGCAACTGTCGAGGTTTGCCCCCCATCCAGCGAACATAGTAGGGAATTGAATGCCCAGGTCAAGCATTCCAAGCCAGAATTCGAAAATGTCGCCGACATATTCAGCTGTTGCTGTTG